AGGTTTTCTTGGGAACCCATATGATAGTGGAGTGTTTGAAGCAGGAGGGGACTTCAGCTCCAGTGATTTGCTGAAAATCTGTGTGAAGACGAGGGCCAGCTGGACAACACAGACTTTCAGACAGGAGGGAATCACACCGTCTGGACCTGGTGCCTTTCTGATCTTTAGTCTCTAAAAGTGGCCATGCACATCTTTTTAACAAATTGTCAGAGGCGGGGTTCCAGAGAGGGTGGTTGTAGGGGGATCAGCTGTCTATAAAAGATTCCAAAACATCCCAGTAATGGCTGCATGCATGATATTGTGCTAAACGCTAAAGCTAAAGCTGAATGAGGCAGAGCGTAAGCATTCTCACATACTGCCGAAGACACGGAAATAAAGTAACATGCTTGCAGTCTTTATCTTCCCGATCTTTACTTGTGATTGATTACTATTAATTCTCCAATAATTTTATAATATTTTTATTTATGAATAGAAATTTTAATAAGAACAACAAAAATATCCATTAGAAAATAAAGAGATCTTATGATGCTTACTTCCTGTAATTGTGTCCACAGCTCACTGATGAACAAATACACCGCTGAGGAGTTGTCAGGCAACAACTGGCAGGTAGGACACATCTCACAGCTGCTGTTGACAAGAAATATCCAAGAAATGTATTACCATTATTGGATAATTTGACATTTTATGTGAGCATTTTTTTTTCATATGAGTTTACTGGACCAGGATCAGAAATCTTCAAAGCATCATTTTCTTACTGTCATAAAATTCCATGAAATTTAAATCTTTAGAACGGGCCACTGATGTAGTTTAGGTTATTTTTATAAACATCTTATATTGAATATGGTTGTTGTTGTCAGGTTGGCCTAAATTTAGGGGAGTCTGCCAACCTGCAGCTGCAAGGAACACTTTCCAAAGTGTATAAGTTTGCTACAGAAAGGACCAGTGAAGACGAGTACACCTTCAGCACACACAGAATCACCTGTACCTATTACAGGTAGGGTGTGAAGATCCCTGGCCATGTCACCACCAACTATTTGTTTTTCAGCTAAGATTGCACACACAGGTCATTCTATTATTCTCTCTATATGTGTCTATGTGTTAAGTTTCCGTGTGTCATGCCAACCATCTCTCAGTGCCGAGTTCAAAAGTGATCTGGAAAGTCTGCCTAGTACATATGGTCCCGCCACCAAGGAACAGTACAGGATGCTCATTGAAACCTACGGCACACATTATATCTACCAGGTTAATACAGACACACACAAAAGTTTGTTTTAATTTATTATGGCGACATGAGGGGTTTCTTGTGTTTCCATCACTTTAGGAGACATTACATTGATTTATATTAATTTCCCAGACACATATTCCAACCTTAATCCAAACCATCACTCTAAAATTTAACATTTTATATTTTGGGGACTTGCTTTTTGTCCCCACGAGTTCCCACATTGTGACTGTATAAACAGATTTATGTCCCCACAACATGACTAATATCAGGCCACACACCCACACGCACTCTCACACCATTTTATTTCACAGAAAATAACAAAACACTGGATTTTTATACAGTATTGTACTTTATTTCAGGTTAAACTTGGGGGACGTCTCAGGCGAGTCATAGCTGTACGTACCTGTTTGACCAAACTGAACGGGCTCTCTTCAGATGAGGTACATGCAGCACACAAACACACACAGTAGACATCGTACCAACATAATTACTCTGCTTAATCAGTGACCACAGATAAATCGGTATATGCATATTTTTTGGCACATAATTTATAAGAACTTACTGAAATTCCACAGATGTTTGAAGTGATTTAAAGACTTTCTCTCTTACATAGTTTGTCCACCAGAGAGCACTAACACGTTTATTCATTTATTTGACTCAGAAATGTCCTGCTCAGTATATACGGTACCTTGGTCACCGTTCTTTAATAATCAAATTTTAGAAATCCTTATTAAAGATATGACAGTGAAGAAATGAAGCTAGTTCAGGTGGTGCTGCATCACCATTTTGGTAATGACAGAACTCCTCTCTGGGGATCCCACTTACACAGTAAACTATACATAGAGACAGGTGACAAATGAAATGAAAAAACTGAATAAATGAGTCGTCTCTTCCAGGGTGACCCCCTCCACAGGCCATGAGGGGTCACTGAAAGGTTTGATGATGATGAAAATGATGTGATTCAAATGCAGTCACCAGATCTCAACCCAGTTGAACACCTATGGGAGATTTTGAAGCGACTTGTTAGACAGCATCTCCACTGCCATCATCAAAACACCAAATGAGGGAATATCTTTTGGAAGAATGGAGTTCATCCTTCCAGTAGAGTTCAGAGACTTGTAGAGTCAATGCCAAGGTGAACTGGAGCTGTTCTGGTGGCACATGGTGGCTCAACACCTTACTAAGACACTTTATGTTGGGTTTGCCTTTCATTTTGTCACCTATGTATTCTCTCATCTTAAAATAAAACTTATCTGAACAGAATTAGCTTTTCTTTTGGCTGTACAGCACAAAATAGCACAGAGCTAACAGATTGTAAGAGTCTAAAATCAGGTCCTGACAACCGTTATGTTGTGGAGACATTATTTCTTATTCAGTACAATCTAACTTTCCCTCTTAGAAGTTAGACCATCCTACTAGAGAAGCACATGAACACAGTAAACAACCTACTGTCACAGTTTATAAATAGAGAACCCAGACCAGACGTAAGGAGGTAATGGTCAAAGAGTGAATAAGGCTTTAATAGAGATGGATATAATGCAGAATACTGCCAAGTGAAGGTCAGTAAGCTGGCAGGCACAGGTGCATGTACATTGACTGACACAGGTAAGCGGTAACAGCAGGTAGGTCTACTAAAGCAGGCAAACTGGAACACAAGAAAATATGATGACAGGCTATGAGGCAGGTGATGGGATTAAAACAGAGTGTCTGCAAACAGGCAGGCTAGGCAGTACGTTCAGACGAGGCGGCAGACAAATAATCAGATTCAGGGAGAAACACAGGGAGAAACACACACCTGAACAGCAAGCAGACAAGTGGGGACAGAAATCACACCTGAACGGCAAGCAGACAAGTGGGGACAGAAATCAGGAGAGAACAAAATGTCCAAACATGGGTGAATCCAGCAGTTAAATCGGGGGACAGGCAGGGGTGAGATCTAAAAACAGTACAGGCCAAGCAAGAGAAATGCCAGAGGGAAAACATATGGTGGAGACGGGCAAAGACTAGGATCATGAGACATACATATTATGTATAAACTGTACTAAAAACATCTGATATTCATCTTGTCACCAAGGTGAACAGCTGCTTTTCACTGGGTATCAAACTTGGCCTAGGGAAAATCAGTCCATCGGCTATCAGTGAGACTTGCTCCAAAGTCCTCCAGAACCAGGACCTCACCGCCTTGTACAGCTCCCGTCTCTATGCATATCACACAGAGGTGGCAGGAGGCACAGGATGGGTGGGGGAGTTTTCACTCACCCATAACAACTCTGTGGGCTTCATGAATTGGCTGGAAACGCTCAAAGATCACCCTGATGTTGTTGAGTACTTCCTTGTACCAATGTACAGACTTGCACCACACAGACCACAGCTGAAAGAGGCCATTGAGGAGTACATAAAAGACAACGCTGTAAGAAATTCAAACAGCAAAACATGCACGCAGAGCCCTAACCTGGATTCCAGTTGTTGTCCTAAACAAGCTTGGAGGGGAACACTGGAGGTGACCATCATCAGAGCCTGGGGTTTGAAAGGAGATCTAACTGGCAAGACCGAAGGGTGCGTATAAGATTCAGAGGTGCTGTAAAGGGGGGCATTGTGAATACAGTGTGAAGACAAATGACAGTTAATTACTTACTTTCTTTTCTTTTTACTAAATGACAGGTATGCTAAGCTGTTCTTCGGTGGTTTCAGTGAAAGGACCAGAATGATCAGGTCAAACGACCCCCAATGGAATGAACGTTTTCAACTGGGCAATGTAAATGTCTTCTCACAGATCACCTCAGATAAAAAAAGGATAATCCCAACCTTTGGCTTTAGATCTTCTGTATTTTTAAGCTTCAGACAGGAGTTTTCATTTGCCATTTTGTGTGTATGTTGGAAAAAATATGAACTGCTATCTACAAGATGCCAAACATATAGTATAGCCTACAAAAACTTTGACTAACTTTGACTGGTGCTTTTTTTGTTTGTTTTTGCTCTAAAACAATATATCAATTGGTTATTTATTGCATCTTCCACATGAGTTGCCAGCTGATACTGTATGTACATGTAGCAGTTTATTAATGAACAGAATCATAGTATGCTCATCATTTTTAATGGTATTTTATTTCATCTTTATGTAGGTGGACACGCACTCGAATCTGTATATCGAAATATGGGACTTGGATGTGAAGCACGATGACCTCCTGGGGTCATGTCAGAGGTCTCTGATGCAGGGGACACACAGTCACACCTGCCACATGAGAATAGGCAGCTTCCAATTCAGGTACACCTTGACCTGCGACCGTCACCTGACTGGAACCATGTGCAACCAGTACACACCCACTCCGGTGTGAGAAAGGCATTCTGAGGACCACACTGTTCTCTCATGAAGTGTGATATCAGATCTGTTAATTACGTTCTTTACATTGTCACTGAATATCCCAAAGGTTGTCATTGAATATATCCCAGGGTTTTTTCAGAAATATCAGCTATCAACAGTTATGTGTTGCAGTGGGGTTAAATTAGTGGTTAGAAGTATATTTACATTATAATGTAAGTTATGTGTTTACTACTTAAAACACAAGTTGAGAGTGAATGTACTTTTCTCAGAGGTGGGGCTATCCTTTACATATTCATCACAGAGTACAGTTTTATGGTTGCTTGTATTATTTGGAGTTTAAATATGTCATAATCGTCAAATCCTTGTAATGTCTACCATAACGGTGGAATTTTTGTGTCCTTTCTCATGCAAATAAAGTCTACGAAAACCAAGCTGATTTGAAATTCACTAGCTTGAAAAGTGATGTCAAGTGCTCACATTTCAGAGACTAATACGGTTATATCATTTATTTATTACTATGAAATGACAGAAGCTGTATGATGAAGCAAAACACAAACAAGGCCATATTGTTGCAGATACTAGTGGTCTCCAACGCTCCCTGTCCAAGGCTGGATTGTCAAATGGGCAAAGTTCGAACTGTTCAGGAGCCATCATTAACTATGGATTTGATTTAGATTTAGTATAAGGTTAGGCCAAGTCTTCAGAAAATGAATGTAAGTCAATGTAAGTCAACTATGACATACTAAGTACTGTTTCGTATTGTTCAGCACAGTCTGCATATTATGAGGGGGTTGGGGGTCAGTGGGGGAAAACAGCAAATGTTTGCCCATGGTGCCCTTGATAGTTTTATCCACCAAGACCCTGCCTGACACAGTGGGGTGTAAATGTAATAGCATTAATGAAATGCACTGCTCTCTCATGGTTAAAGCTTCCTGTGCTGCATTTCTGCAGCGAGTTAAAAAAGAAAACCCCTGGAGCGACCACTGGGTTTCTTCTTCTCTCCTTTGGAAATGTGGATTGGTTCAAACGATGTCACGGAACAGCCTGGAGGTGGTGTAAAAAGCCTCTCCCACACCGCCTCTCTGTCCATCCTACATTGCAGGACAAACTGGCACACGTGTATCCAATATAAGCGACTGTTGCGCCAGTGCGCTACTGACAGCGCAGGGTTTTCCGCTACAAGGAAATGATGGAAGAGGAATGTTTCTGACGCCTCTCCGTTCGGTGGGGACTGTCCGCAGGAAAACTGGACATGATACTCGTTGTGCGCGGGTTGCTGGACCACGTCGGAACGCTCAGATACTGTAAATGTGAATAAATCTGCATGATTTAGGATTCTCAGGGTCTCCGACACTGAAATGTCTCAGGATTGGAAATGCAGCTCCACGCCTGTCTGTTGCTTTTCATTATCACAACAGGTAAGAACATCTGTCAGTCCCTGGACTGTGTCATGCACATTCTTTGTTTAAGATTCTACCAGGTGCCATTATGTACTCCGTTTATTATTAGGTCTGCTGAACTTTGAGATGGACACATTTTAGTGAAAACTGCTACAGATATCATGTGCTACGTTTGAACATGTTGCATTAATTCTGCTGCATTGTCATTACATGGTTGTGTTTTGTGGTAACCTGAATGCCTCAATCCAGCCTCCAAAGCTAAAGGGATCATCAGTTAATAAAACGGATAAAAAGGAATTGGTTAACGTGTTACACAAAATTAATTAAATTCTTATATTTAACCTTTTTATACCTCAAATCATTCAAATTAGATTGGGCTATACTGCCCACAGCTTATGTCCATAAATGTCAAAATAATTCATCTGGTTTTCACTAATGGAGGTCAAGAGAGTTATGCCAGGGTGATACCCCTTTTTTTTACCAGCATCTTTTTTTCCTTCCTCAGATAAAACACTGGCCTTGTTGCAGCACCACTGTGGTGGAAATGTCAGCCTGGACCAGGAGCCTGCTGGCCACATCAATCTCACCCTACCTGGACATTTTACTGACAACAGGTTCAACCCCATGAACCCCCAGTCTGACAAAACCCTTTTTCTGTGTACTTGGATTTTAGATATTCCTCTGGGTAGGACGGTACTTTTAAAATTACTACGGTTGAGTGTTGGTTCGAGAATATCTGTGCGCTGTGTTTGGAATGGGGAAGATCAGGTCCTGGAGAGCTTGGGGGTGGCTCGGCTGTCTGGCTGTGACAAAGCCACCATCACTTGGACAGGCCTGGGACACTCCTCAAATACAGTTCAGCTGTACTATTGTGGTGAGGAACCAATAATTCATCTTGTTAAATTTACTGAGTCATTATGGCCCACTTAGCTCCATTTGCACCATGATCACAAGAGTGTGATCTAATAGTTGTAATAAATAGGGGGAATGAAAAAACTTGTTTAGAGCTGCTTAGTAGGCTCTTTTTGTTGTTTACAATAGAAAAAAAACACTGGTTACTTTGGATGGATGTAACTGTGGAAATGTTTTGTTCAAAATGCGCTGTGAACTGTTAATCTGTCAGTCGGAAATTTCTTATCACTCTCACTGTGGTGTGAGAGAGACAGATGTTGTAGTTTCCACTCTGCCTCTCCTCACTATGTCGCTCTCTGTGTTTGTGTTTGTTCCTGGTCACCCAGTCCAGGAAGGTGAGAGGAATTCCTCAGGTGACCACACAACCCAGCATCCAGATGGAGACCCCGTACATGGGTCTCAGACAGGAACCGACTTTACAAGCATAGCTCCTGCCAGTCAAGAGGTGGTGAGAGGGACAGAAGGGGGCAGAGGTCGCCACTACGAAGGTCTGAAGTGGCGTCCTGGACCTCAGTCTGTGTCTAGTCCCTCCTCCCAGGACAAGGGGCTGCTCTACCCGACCTCAACCCTTCGGGGACTCAGTGTAGCAGGAGCAGCTGATAGGGAAACTCTCCCTTTTCCTGAGGAAGGAGCAAACAATGGAGCGGATGCATCTGGAGCGGCTCACCTCACTGATAGTCCCATATCTGCCAGAGATGGGACACACCCCTATTTTCACACTGAGCGTACGCTTAGTACAGACACATCAAACACAGAAACAAACCCTAACGGCAGGCTCCCTCAAACCCAAAAGGCACTGGCATATGCAACATCCAGTGTCTCCAACATTATGTTTGGCAAGGATTTACACAAATATACAGTCACTCAGACATCTATGCATGTAGATGAACATGCAACCACACGTGCCCACCCCGCTGTGTCCAGCTTTAGCTTTCTACCTCTGACCTCTACGCCCCCTCAGATATCTTCTCGGACAACCTGGGAAAGTGGTACCGACGTAATCCCGTCTGGTCGCACTGTTAGTGAAGAGAAACAGCCCCATTCTTGGAGAAGCCATCGAAGCACAGGCACACTTCTTTCTGATCTGAGCTCTGCCGTCACCTCTAACCCTTTAAAATCCTCCACTGAACCTCCGCAGTATGACTCAATCAGTGCAGACACTGATACTGAAGCCACTGCGTTAACTTCCTCCTCACAGGGCCCCGGCAGGACTCAGTCATCCACTGCCCACATCGCTGAGTTTCACACTGCTGTTACTACTGTGGCAGCAGCATCATTTCATCTGAACATAAGTCAGACTGACTCATTGAAATCTGCCGATGTTACCAGTGAAACTGCTGCGTTTGAGTCCTCTGATAAATTCGACAGCGCAGTAGAGCTTCACACTCCCACTTCATCCACACAGAGGAAGACAAGCTCTCGACAAAGTACAGAGAGCTTCACACACTCTTCTTACACATCCTCCACATTCACACAGACAAGCAAAGACATCCAAACAGCAACTCAAAGTACACAAAGAGATTTAATTAGCCCACATGTGACTACAAATGATGCCCCTTCCTCAACTGACATTACCAAAGTTAATGAGCAGACTTTAAGTTTCACAAGTTCTTCTTCAACACTCAGAGCAGCGCTGACGATGGGAGGTGTAGTCCGTGACTCTGCTGACACAGGAGCTACTTCTGAAACACTGCATCCTACTCATCCACTCTTACATGAAAATTCGCACACAAATTCACAGGCTCCTGTTTCTCTTTTTTCACCCAGTACATCCACACACTCCTCTACACCTTCAAACATGCTCCAAACACACACTACGTTTTCTGGTAGCTCACACGTTACTCGCACACCACCGCCTTTAACCTCCTCTACCAGTGACTCCACCTTATACACACTCCTTATCGACCACAAAGCCATGTCTACCCCTTTACAAACGACCAAATCTACATCTTTGCTCACACCTCGTACACATCACCACCTGCCTTTTCCGTCTTCTACTAATGTCCCTGCTACACATAAACATTCCCACAACAATATTACTACAACACATATTTCTCCACTCTTACTCACAACTGCAAAATCAGATTATGGAGATAAAAGTCCTTCACATGGGTCAGCACCAGTCTATCAAAGGACTTCATGATCACATGTCAGGGTGACAGGTCTGTGGTCGTTCAGTTCACGGATGGAGGGTTTCTTGGGAACCCATATGATAGTGGAGTGTTTGAAGCAGGAGGGGACTTCAGCTCCAGTGATTTGCTGAAAATCTGTGTGAAGACGAGGGCCAGCTGGACAACACAGACTTTCAGACAGGAGGGAATCACACCGTCTGGACCTGCCCATCATGGGGACCTCCATCCTCTCTAACCTCACATCCCAGCCAGCAGAGCCATGTGGTGCTTACACCCTCTGCCTTACCCTCCACACCTGCTTGGAGCTCCACAACTAGTCAGCCACCCAGATTTTTCATTGTGCCAGACCAGCCTGCAGCCGTTAGAGGTACAGTAATGTCTGTGTGTTATTAAATATCCAGACTGTGTGTCCAGACCTGTTGTAATGGCATCATTTGCTTGTTCTCTTCAGTGGAGTCATTTGAGCTGCTGCTGCAGATAATTGTGGAAGAGTCCAGATCAGCTTTCACTACTAGCTTGGAAAAAGACGCCGCTGCTTGGGTTGGGATGGCGCACACCAGCATGCATGCAACACCAATAAACTCCTTATACAATAGCTTTTAACTTTTATTTAGTAGCTGGTGCAAAGTTCTTACTTTTGGCTTCTCTCAGGTGGAGCTGTACCTACAGAAAGCCCCGGGGTTCGGCCGGCTGCTGGGAGTCTGGAGCAGGTGAGGTGGTATAGACGGATTTAAAAAAGAAGGAATACAGAACATAGCAAGGTACCAGCTAGCCATAGTTTATGCTTCTCTTGTATTACCCTTAAATTCAAGTCTTAGACATAAGCATCTAATTTTCCAAAAATAATTTCTAGTCAATACAAAAAACTATAATCCTCAATGATTCACCTGAATGGAAAAAAATTCCATCTAGTGTGTGATTTAATTTTTTTAAATGTATGTTTAAGTTCCAACAGCATTTCCTTATCCAGGTGACAGGAAATGGCATATGTGCTTGCTGTACAGACATTCATGTGCCCCTCACGACGACTTGCACTAACTTTACATTTTTTTCTAGCACCATGCTCAGGTCAAAAATCTAATGTATATCTTATTTCTGGCTATCACTTTTGTTTGCATTAAGAAAAAGAGGTGCAACTTAAACTGCTTGTCTCACAGTAAGGAGATTTTTTTTTTTTAACCCAGATGGTCAGAAGAATCTTTGAGGATTCTGGAAACATTAAAAATTCCTTCAGAACAGGGGGAAATTGTGTTCTGGGTTTTTCAGAGATGCTATTTATTTTTCAGAAAATTGAATGCTAGGCACTGTGACTCATAGTAATAACTGTGGCTAGATTTAGGCTGTGTTAAAGAGACGTACATAAATGGAATCTGCTGCTGTTCCAGTGGCCATGCAGTGCAGAGTCTGGTGGAATTTAAAACCAGCGGGGCTCTGCAGTGGCTCAGCATGACAGGACCCGCATCGCTGTTGGAAAGAACAGGACTAGCTCAGGCCGTTCGTGAGGGGAGGAGCTTCCGATCGTCCAAGATAACCAACGTCACGCTAGGAGGTGAGTCAGGGTTTAGATGTCAGTCTACAAACATGACTTAGGATTCCAAATTTGGTGGGTGGCCAAGGGGTTTAAGCCAAGTCCATTCGGGAAGTTTGCTGTACATTTTTCTACACCGTTGACACCTAATTTCCTGTCAGCTATTGGTCAGCCACAGAGGGAATTTAATTCTTAATCTGGTTTCCTAATTAGCCCAGTTACAGGCATGAAAACAATCACAACTCAGATTGACCCAGAATCACAATCTATAAAAAAAATGTGAGTAATACACCTGGATTACTTTGGTATTTACTGGTGGACAAACTAGTTTGAGAGGCAGGTTATCCGTGCTAATAGGAGTACTTGGATGCAGTGTATTACACAAAGGTCGGCCGACTCTGCATGTACATTACACTTAATCAAAACCTGTTAATTATTTTATTCTTAATTTCTTGGAATGCATGCCCCATAATCTTCAATGTATGTTTGCTACTGTGTTTTATTTCGCAAGCAGACACATTTAAAGTAAAATGCTGGTGATATTCTGTATTTTTACAGTCAACACACCCTTTGAAAAGATTTAAACTAAGAATTTATCCTAATAAAAAGCTCTGTCTGTGTATCCAGTGTCTGATATCTTATCCCTCTGTCAGAGAGCTCCACTGTTGTCCAAAACCTATCAGTGAAATGCTCCATCATTATGATGAATATGGGCACTATAGTTTAAAGGTGCATTAACTAATTTCTAGTCAGCTGCCAGAGGGTCAGGTGAGACTCAAAACAAAGTGACACATCCTTTTTCCTAGCAACAATGTAAACTATGGCTGTCTGGTTGGGACAAACTGTTGAGTAACATTTAATAAAAGCTACAGTAGTCAAATGTTTTTTGACACTTGATTTTTAAAAAATAAATGTATATATTTGTAACCTGTTTTAAAGATTTGCATCTTTGGTGGATATGAATGGGCTTGTGGCCAAGTGCCACAGACAGGAAGGGGAGGCTGAAAACACAATATTGGTTTTGGTCTTTTTATAGGATTTGTTGACAATAATAAAAATGTAGCATAACACCAGCCTTATTCTTTAACGTCTTTCCCCCAGGTATGCAAGCTGATGTGTGTGACTGGCTACTGCAGTGCCCAGAAGGCTATAAATGTGTTTCCCTGCTTGGCACTGCAAAATACAGCTGTTCTTCTGTCTGTCGATTTGACCACTGCCACCACCATGGCATCTGTACACACCATCCAGATCAACTTCCAGTTTGCCAGTAAAAACACACACACATGCTCATACACCAATTTTGTATCTCTTTGTGCAGCCAACAATGTTTTGTGCATGTAATTGTATTTATGTATGTGTATTAGCTGTGCTGTAGGAGAAGACTTCTGGTACATGGGTCCCCAGTGTGACGTGAGGATGACTCAAGCGCGGCTCGTGGGTGCATGTCTCGCCATCTTACTCCTCATGGTGACACTCATTGGCGTTTTGGCCCTTGTGGCGGTGCGACGCTACCGAGCTGTTCTGATCCAGGCCAAAGTGGATCAGACTCGCAGCAGGTACACACGCACATATGAAGATTAATACACACAGTGCACACATACAGCCTTTAAGACTTTTTAATACCAAAATATTGGTAGACTTTTTTAACATCCATTTTATGGAGGAAAAACTGAGCTGTAAGACCTTCAAGACCTACAGATAGAACACATAAGCATAGTGTTTGTACAAGAAAAACATTAAAATTTGAAGTTTAGAGGACAGTCTAGTTGAAAATAAGCATAACCTTTATTGCCAAGTATTATCTAAAATACAAGGAATTTGACTCCATCCCATTGCCCCCCAGTGTGCACAACAGTATAAAAAAACAGAATATATACATGTTGTCAAATGAATGAAATGGTAGTCTGTTTGTGTGACAGTCTATAGTGAGCAGTCTCAATGTCTTATGGGGGCCCTTTAAAATGACACAATAACAACACACATGTTAAACATAGTTATGCATTTGACTAAACATGATTCATTTGAATATGTGACACAATGGACACCTGGGGTAAGATCATGTGTTTTGTGAACAAGGAGTGAAAACCAGCCACTGAGCTGGACAAATCCTCGCATGATTAATTACAGCACTCAGGGCTCCTACGAGTTGTTGAGTGCTATAGAAATAAAGTTTACTATTATTATTATTATTATTATTATTGGTGTGTAATTACAGTAAAGTCCACTAGGTGTCAGTGTGGCTGTAAAATCTAACACTGAAGACTAGACAGCAGTGCAAACCTCCATCAAAGCAGCCAAGCTTCCCCATAATGCCATTTCATCTAAAAGCAATATTCCCATGATAGTTTGAGCTTCATAATATTATTCCATTAAAACCTACCTCTAACATTTGGAATAACATTTATATCATTATTTCTGTGAAAGTTATTCCAGATTTTAAAGATTCCTGGATCCGGATGATGATCCTGATCATCACCAAAATGTAATGGACCAATACCTCTCCAAAAAGTTTCATCAAAATTTATTCATAACGTTTTGAGTTATGCTGTAAACAAACCAAGAAAATGTGTGCTTAAAAACATAACCTCCTTGGTAAACATCTCCCCCTCCAGACTCGCAGACAGCCCTCACAGACTTGGCATCTCCACTGTAACCACACCAAATCTGTAATGACTAAAGACTTTCCTCACTTATTTCCATGGTAATTGATTCAAATTTCTCCTATCCACAGCAAAGTATTTTTTTGAGTCATTTTCAGTGGTGGGCCTATAGACACTGGCAATTTATGTAAAATAAACCTCATCAGTAAAACTACATATCAGAATAAATATTATGGTTTATAACTGTCTTGCTATGAACTTTGAATAACCTTTCAAGAGAAGTCTGGAGTTGATGAATTATGATTTGGGCATGCCTCAGTAAATGCATTGAATTTCTGCCTTAAAGCTGCACTAGCCCAGATTTTTGTGCTCAAACACTTCTGTGTTGTCTGAACCTAAATCACCAAGAGGGGAGTGCTTAGCAGCCTGAATTGAGAACAGCAGTTTCACTCTGCTGCCTGGATTAAATTGTAATACTGGGTATGCACACAGATAAAGTTCAGACAGGAAGCAATAAGTCCAAAGTTAAGCCTAAAATCCACGGTGTCTAACCAGCAGGGAGTGAACGATCTGTTCAGAGACTTGTATGAACAGAGTTCTGCTTTCTCCAGCAGGCTCATTTTATGTGAGGTTCTTGACAGATGGGTGGTTCCAAGCATCTTGGAGAAATTGCCACAGTTGTTCTGTGGATTTAGTTTGTCTCACTGTCTTCTGTCTTTTCATGTGATCCCAGACTGGCTCTATAATCTAAAATCGGGGCTCTGTGGGGGCCAGACCATCTGCTGCAGCACTCTTTGTTCTCTGAAGCTCTTCATGACTCTGGCTGGATGTTTGGGCTCATGTTGTACAATGAATTTGGGACCAGTCTGAAGTGCCTAGAACATTTGCACAATATTGTGTATATACTGTATAAGAATAATTTATTTCAACTATAAGGTAGTTCCAATAGAATCAGCCTGTAAATTTGATTTATTGTTGTGTATAGCTATCGCAGGTTCAATCATTTTGACGAGCTGTCAGGTCGGTTCTGGTTGCGTTCGTGGGCGGGCTCTGCAGACTCCATGGACAATCCTGCCTTTACACGGTCTGATGAGTTACTGCACCTGCGGGCACTCGACCGCCCTTGCTGTTACCATGATGACACACTGTCGCTGGCTTCCACCTGCACAAGCCATGGGCCACACATCAATACAATCTACCCCCACAGGTGCTCGCACACACACAAATTCAATATTGCATACAATGACTTTATAACTGTAATAATAATTTCCTAATGCTTTGGCTATTTGTGCTCCCTGTAGCTCCCAGTATGGCTGGAGGGGGAGTGAGATGAGTATGGGTGATGGTGTGTTGGATTCGGGTAAGGCCAGTGACCTTTCTGTCTGTAGCTGGCCTGTGGAACCTATTCAGTGGACTCCCTTCCCACTTCTGCAGCAACTGGCTTCCCACAAGACACCCACAGTGAGTGTTTGACCAAGTGTTACCGAGACAGAGGGATCTGGTTTCACCGTGTAATTATGTGTCGTTTCCCTGTGAAAGCAGGTGAGGGTGTCAAGGCCGCGGTCCTACTGTGAAGGCATGGAGCTGGTAGACCTGGGGAAGAGTTGGACTGCTTGACTAACATAAAAAAGAATTCACTTTGTTCTGACACTGGTATTTGCAGTTTATTATTTCATGGTAAAGCTCAAATGTTGTTTCTGTGAATAAAATTTGTAAAACTGAGTATAAATGTATATATATCATTTGTGTTTGTTGCTTTTAAGTTAGAATTTACATTGTCATTTTGATAAGTGCTTAATTTTGCACAAAGTGCAGCATGAAACCATTAAGATGAAAAAAGAAAAATATAAAAGGGGTCAAGGTGATGTGAAATGTGGATGAATTATGGGAGAACTTGGACTTGCTTTCTTGGCAAAAAGACGGAAATCACTCACATGTGTATGTGGAATTTGAAGTTGTTTTATCTTAGCATAGAGACTGACTAGCCTGAATCTGTCAAAAGATAACTAACTTGTTTGTTTCCACTAACCCCAAGTGTCCAAAAGAAAGGAAAAAAAAAGATATCGAATACAAAAATTTGAATTGAGTTCCAGACACTTTGGCAAGATAGTTGCCTATGGGATTAATGACTCTTCATTCTTCCAAATTATCCTGGATTACCAACCAGATAAAGCAGGCAGACTTTTTTTTCCAATGTGAAATTTGTCTTAAAAATTAGTCTTCCAATATTACATGTCAAAGAATATTTCACAATGTCCTCACACTGAGCACGCTCTCCTCTCAGTACTGTGTATGAAACTCAGCTGGAATGTCATTCCATAAATGACTGGGAAGACTGCAGAGAGTGAAACGGGCAAATACTCTAACCTCATAATGCACTTCTATGCCTGACTTGGAAAAATTAATGGAGTGATTGAGGAAGACTGAGAGAGGAAATGTGGCAAATAAAGGAAGCAATGAATGTATGTTTGAGAGAAAGAGAGAGAGAGATTGAGGTTGTGCGTAAATTGGACAGAATTTATACCTGCTAGCTTCTTCCATATACGGTCTTAGTCAGACCCGAGAGCCAGGCCTTTGAGTTTCTCTGACTGTGTGAGTGAGCAATGTAGGGAGGGAGTGCATTTATGTGTGTGTGTGTGTATTGTAATGCACACGAGTCATGGCACGCTGCTGAGTTTTGAAATTGCTTAAGGAATGAGTGTCCAGGGAAACAAATTTCTTCAGAGAGGAGTAGGTGAGTACAAAGATTAAAAAAGAAAAGAAAATGTCCTTTTCTATGTATATATCTCTGTGTAAAGATGAAGAATCCTGAAATCAAGGTGGAATGTCTCAAAGCATACAAACAGACACAGCCTTAAAAAGTGAGATTCATTCATTTCCTCAGACTGGTCACATGACCTGAGCAGTGCATTCTGCCCCATGTGACTTGCTCCAAAAGTCCCTTATATGGATGTCATCCAAAGGAACACTTAAAGGGATGGCTGTCTTGTCCTGGCTATATACTTGGTGTGTGTGTGTATGCGTGCATGTGTGTGCTTAGTGTCTGTCTGAAGCAGGATAATGCCCATCTGAAAAGCTAATTCCCTGATCAGCTCATTTTGTGTTCTTAACTGCTCCATACCTGATGGCATAAGGGCGTGTGTGTTTGTAGGTCTGGGTGGTCACTTCCTGCGTGCATCTGCTGAAGTGAGGCTCTGTGAAACCCATTTCCTGTCTCTCGGTGAGACAGCTCCCATATATCCTTATTAGGAGCCAGTGAGAATTCCTAGAGTAAGTTTATGAGTCTTTGTCCGGTGGCCTTATTGAGTTACAATAGCACCCCGACCCACCCACCTAATAGCTGGTCAGCTAATTTAAAAGATGAGGTTTGCATAGGGGGTTTTAAAGCATGTTACCATGCAATAAATATTACATCTAATCATGTATATCAGGCTACAGTTATGCAACCTGTCCATGAGCAGGTGTATTGATGCAGCAAGCCACATTCCTGAATAATAGTTCCATAACTGCCATTGCACATTAATTGTGACACATATTATAGACATGTTCAGGAAATTACACACCTCTCTATTACATCTAATTGAGCCAAGCAAGATTAATCATCCCCCTGCACTCAGTTGCACATTATAACACAAGTGATGAGAGTTCAAGATTAACAGCCTGGTTAATGTTTGCTTTAAACAAGCCTCCGCTTGACCCCATGTGCCCACTGTCACTCTGCTCTGCATGGGGATGTGTGTATGAAACACACTGATGTGTCCTGGGCAGACATGTCCTTCAGGGTGTTGACAATGCTGGCAGTGACCCTGAGACTGTAACCATCTCATGCCCTGGCACGACCAGCCACGAGTATCTGCGATGAGTGAGAGAATTTTGGTTTGCAACAAATGCATTACCACATTCTTTGGTACAGTCCAGCTCTTTTTGTGTCCCTCATTTAATTATGAATATGTTGGTCATATGCTCTGCACTTAAGTACCCAAAGCACAAAGATGGAACAACTAGGACAACAACTACTAGCACAACTATGCTTTTACATTTGTTTACTGTATGTCCTATTGTATGAAGCTGTATGCAGCATTTGTGATTAAGACCAATTTCCCCTTAGGGACAATTAAGACAATAATCAAATGTGGAACTGCTTAACCAGGACAAAATGTAGGCCTCTTCTTACTGTGGATGATGTCAAGGATTAAAACAAAAAGAGTGTAAACTGAATTAGCCTATATCAAAATGTGCATATTAGTTCAATGTACAAAGAGCAAATACATAAAAGGACATATTTAAAATGTTTCATACTCAAGGATGTTGTGTTTTGCAGCAAACGTTTTGTGCCCACTTGTGTCACATTTGTATATCATGATTGAGAGATAGATAGATAGATAGATAGATAGATAGATAGATAGATAGATAGACAGATAGAGTACTTTATTTTAGACTACTTTATAGTCCCACGGGGAAAATATTGTTACAGTAGCCAATTGACAAAATAACAAGAAGGAGGTATCCCAGGATTAATATACAAAGGCAAGTATTATATGATGTATACAGTGATGGAGAGTGATAATAAAATATGTTTTATTGAACACTGAAAAACCCCAGGTTGATCATTTTGGTAGTAAATAAGTTAGTTTTCATATTGCTTGAAACCCTGCCTTGTCTGAGTGCGGTCCCGTAATGTGCATGCGCCACACCCAGTGGATGCGGCAGAACCAATCAGAGAGCGCCGTGCGGAAAGTTCTCCTTTTATGGAGAGGGGCTGCAGCACGAGCTCAGATAAAGTCCTGCATTGTATTAGCGTCTGTAGCAGAGAAGCTTAGACAGCAAACAGTAGCGGAGCGTAGCGCTCAATCACAGTCCTCCTAAGGCGATAACCCATATTCACACAGGTAAGACGAGCGGAATTAACTTAAGTGTTTTTGACATTTAAATGCGTTTCTCTAATACAGTTGTGCGGAATATTTGATGCAGTGAGCTGCATTTAAGCTAGCGTTAGTTCACCGGTTAAATTGGGGTCTCAGGTTTTCAAGTAGGAGCAGCATTTATAAGTTAACGCACTTGTTCGTAAAATAGCGAGCTATAGCCATTGGCGTCAACACTGTCACCAGAGGTGGGTTGGCATTACTGCCGTTTGACAAAAAAAAGCAGTGTGAAATAACCTGGCTGGCCCATGTTATCACTTTATCGATTTAATGATTCAGGCTGCGTTAAAAAGCTTTACCTTCTCGCTGGCATGTAATGTTAAGCATCTACCTGTGCACGGTTTCATAGTCTGGGTTCTTCTGATTTCACACACAATGGGAAATTAAACTCATTCAATATAAGGGATAGCTAAGATTTGTACAGAAAGGGCAAATGTTGGTATGAAGTTAAGGTTACGAAGCCGTTTAACGCTCAAGGCTGCATCCGTTAGATATTGGCTTTCCACATAGCTTTAACCTTTAGCTGGGACGGTCACGACATAACGGTAACGTTACATTGGGTGACTGGGGATGCAAGTTCATTCACTGTTAAAGCTGGGGATGCAAGTTCATTCACTGCTAAAGCTGCATCTTAAAGTGTATATTAACGGTGGTTCAGCCTGTTACGATGACCCCGGTGTAGGGAGTGGCCGGTTCTCGGTGTCATTTGAGATTTAACGACACACTGGGCGGTTTCACGGCCGGTCAGCCGCTGTTTCTAAGCTGTTCTTGTTTTTTCCTTATATGGCAATGGCCATGGCCTGACCAGGGAGAAACTGCCTTTGTTTCTTAGCTCTGGATTTGGAATGAAACAGCGCCATTGCGACATCCAGTGTCCAGCTTCCATAATGACAAGGCTTGAACATAGTAGTTTGCCAGATGTAACACAAACCTGTCAGAGCATCAGCTATAAACTGTTCTCTCATCTCACTCTCTATCCAGAAAATGGAAGAAGAAATTGCTGCCCTCGTTGTTGACAATGGATCTGGGATGTGCAAGGCTGGCTTTGCTGGAGATGATGCTCCACGTGCTGTGTTCCCTTCCATTGTTGGACGTCCCAGGCATCAGGTACAGTTTTCCTCATAAATCCTACTCTACAAATAACTTTGTACACTGTAGTTGTGAGTTTAATATGTAACCTCACTCTTGCTGCACAGGGTGTGATGGTTGGTATGGGCCAGAAAGACAGTTATGTTGGTGATGAAGCACAGAGCAAAAGAGGTATCCTGACCCTGAAGTACCCCATTGAGCATGGTATTGTCACCAACTGGGATGACATGGAGAAGATCTGGCATCACACTTTCTACAATGAGCTGAGAGTTGCCCCTGAGGAGCACCCAGTCCTGCTCACAGAGGCCCCCCTGAACCCCAAGGCCAACAGGGAAAAGATGACCCAGGTAAGGATGGCTAACACTTATTCTTTCAGTCAGGAAACCTACTTGGCTCACTTGCAGGGCCCAGCAACAGGAAAAGTGTTGCTGCCCAGGCATTTCTTCTTCTGCTCAATCTGTCCATTTCCTCCTGCTCCTTCATCCTCCAGGTTTCCTCTGTCCTGAGCTGATCTTTTTCATCTCTGCGGATGCTTCAGGTTTCTATTGCTGCACTGATGCATCAGGAATGACTAGTAGCAGCATGTCACAACTTTCTGTTGAGGCTTGGGATAGATATGCTTAACTGCATGATACAGCAGATTACTGTACAGTTAACATGACCACACTAAAGGACATATTCCTGTAATTGCAGGTGTTTATATTTGAAATGTGTGCTGTCCC